ATATTCATTTCGCAAAATAGCAAATAGGAGGATTTAACTAACGAAGTCAAATACAAGTTCTCCCCGTAAACACCACCACAAAAATTTAATTTTGTTTTGGAGGAAAAAATTAATATGGTGTTCTTACATTTCTGCCCAAATAATTGTGGCCATTTTTAGCATTTCTCGTTTGTTACTTTCTATCATATTCGTGCATTTTTAATTGTCATAATTTTTTCTTTTAGAATTAAATTATAAAAAAAGTCATAATTTTTTTTTTAGAGTTAAATTATAAAAAAATGTAACATGATAAATAAAAATAAACGAGTGAATATTGTTTGTCAGATGCTTTCTTGTCTGTAGTGCTGGACACATTTTTCAACCACTTCTTGTCATTTTTTTTCCATCTCTTTTCTATATTTTGGCTTCTATTTCTACTTCCATTGCTACTTGTACTCCATATCTGCAAATTCATAGCCGAAAGCATGGAGAACGGTACAACTACATCGAGGAGAACATGGAACTTTAAAGAGAATGAAAAATTGGTAAGTGTATCAGATCTCACAGTAAGAAGTGTTCTTAACAAGTTGAGGTGTTGCATTGACCCTGCTGATACCCGACCCATTATCCCTCTTGGCCATGGCGATCCTTCTGCTTTCCCCTGTTTTCGGACTACACCAATCGCCGAAGATGCTGTTTCTGATGCCGTTCGTTCTGCAAACTTCAACTGTTATTCCTCCACCGTCGGCATCCTTCCTGCTAGACGGTACCATTTAGTGACATTTTTTACTCTAAGTTTTACTCGAACAATATTGATTTAATGTTGCAATTGATTTTGTAAAGAGTTTGAAATCTGATATCATCTTTAATAGAGTATTTCAGAATTTTTAGTTTTGAGTTTTGGATTCTAAGTGCCCATTTGGATTACCTTATTTTTAGTTGCCCTCTCCATTTTTAAATAAGTCCATCCAAATAGGCCCTAAAAAGGATACCTTACTAGATCTAGACAAGTTACTTATACATACTAAGTAGATTTCTCTACACAAATATAGACTTTTGGCTGAAAGCGATGGCTTATGTTGAACCTGGAATTAATAATCTAGCTCTGCACCTGTGGTGGAGCCATCTTATGCTTTTTTCGGAAATTACACTGTTTAGCTATATTAAAATTTTAGTTTTAGGTAGAAATATTATACGTTGACTTCCCTTTTTTTTTTTTAAGCATGTCAACTTTTTGGTGTTTTGACATTTCTCGAAAAATTTCTGGCTCCGCAATTGAGGGTGAAGTTAATGTTCTGTCTCGACTTTTCTAAGTGCACCTTTATCTGGTCTAAAGTTCCAACAATTGAGGTAACTTCTGGAGATTTATACTTAACAATATTTGGTAGGGCCTTTTTTTGTTCCTACTGTACAGTTAAAGACTTAATCTGTATACTCTATTTGTTATTAAATGTAAGTGGTCCATTGTCTTTATTTTCCTTGATTGGTTTTTGCTAGAACCCCAGGTTTTTTGAAATAACCTTCAACTTTTGTTTGTCAAATAGTTCTTGAACTTTGTCTCTATTGTGAACATTAATCTTAACTACATAGGATTGCGTTTACATTTATGGGGTATACGAATTTGAAGCAATTTTAGAGCTATTTCAAAAGGCAATATGGCTTCTTGATTATTGGAGACATCATTCATGATCTTCAAATTCAGAATAATTCATTTAGTTTTGTTCTCTGAAAAGGGCTGTAGCAGAATACCTTTCTCAAGATCTCCCATACAAGTTGTCTCCTGATGATATTTACTTAACGATTGGATGTGGTCAAGCAATTGAAATACTTTTGAATGCTCTTGCACGTCCAAACGCAAATATTCTACTTCCAACTCCTGGATTCCCTTATTATGAAGCTTGGGGTGGATTTACTCAGATGGAAATGCGTCACTTTAATCTTCTCCCAGAGAAGGAGTGGGAGGTGGACATTAATGCGGTCGAGTCTTTGGCCGATGAAAATACCGTGGCTATGGTCATTATTAATCCTGGGAATCCTTGTGGCAATGTCTATTCAGAACAACACTTGAAGAAGGTATGTGTACTTCCTCTTTTTCGTTATGATATTGATATCCTAAGTCATTATAAATATAAAGAGTTGTTTCAATATCTATCAGGTGGCAGAGATGGCAAGGAAGCTTGGAATTTTAGTTATTTCTGATGAAGTTTATGCTCATCTCGCTTTTGGAAGTAAACCATTTGTGCCCATGGGAATCTTTGGATCGATTGCTCCTGTTATTACACTTGGATCCATATCAAAGAGGTGGATTGTCCCAGGCTGGCGACTTGGTTGGCTTGTTACAAATGATCCAAACGGCATACTTAAAGAACATGGGGTACTTTCTCTACTGCTTCCACAAATGTTTATTTTTGTGGAAAAAATAATTTAGCATTCACTTATAAAGCCAAATTTAGGTGTTGAAGAGCACTTCACAGTAAATTAAAGAAATGTGGAACACTGAAAGTATGTCATAGGCGGTTTTGTTACATGTGTCATGTAAAATCTTTGATTGAGACTGACTAGCATTCTTTAAAAGGAGGATAAGATTATTTTCTAGCAAAATGATCTGTATGTTGTCATCTTGTGTTTTCTTATTTTCAGGTCATAGATTCCATCATGGGATATCTCAATATATCTTCTGATCCTGCAACGTTTATTCAGGTTCGCTCTTTATAATTGAATTTTGTTTTGGTCCAGCAGCTCTTTGTATTATGTAAACTAAGAACTTAGTAGTGTAGGTGTAATTTTCCACATCCCTTACTGAGGTATCTAGTTTCATTTTGTTCTTACTTCGACAGGGGGCAATTCCTCAGATCCTTCAGGAAACAAAAGATGATTTCTTCTCTAAAATAGTAAATATGCTAAGAGAAGATGCAGATATCTGTTATGAAAGAATCAAGGATATTCCTTGCATCACTTGCCCAAGTAAACCTCAAGGATCTATGTTTGTGATGGTATGAAAAAAATGGAAGCTTAATTAGTTAGAAGATGTAATCAACAGTCTAATATAGGTCTTTTCCCTCTTGTAGGTTCAACTTCATTTGAATCTTCTAGAAGACATTGAAGATGACCTGGACTTTTGCGCGAAGCTGGCTAGGGAAGAATCTATGTTAATTTTACCAGGTAAAAGAAAACAAATCTCTTAGAAAGCTAATCAAACTCTATCGAAAACAGTAGACAGATTTTCTTACTTGAACAAATGTCCCTTTCTTGGAGGACTATCTTTTCAAATTCCTTTATATTTTTCGACGTCTTAGAATATTTCTCATACGTGTTTAGTTGTTAGAGCTTTCGTATTCACAGGTCATAATGTTATTTGATTGTTTTATTGCGTCTTCAATTACGTTGAATTCAGAAAGTTCCTGAAGGACAAATAGAAATCATCCGTACATATAGGATCTGCCATGCTAGTGATCACTTCTGCTGATATATAGTTCAGTTTGACCCATAAAAACTGATGCAAGGCAGAAATTTATCAAATTTTATTAGACTCCATAGATGTAAGTTGTAACCATATTGTTATATGGATGTGAAATTTGTGTACTTTTCGAGTTGGTGCATTACTTTGCTGCAAGAAAGTATAGACTGTCACTCGAAAAGAGCAAGTATATGAATAACTCGAACTGGTGGGATGGTGTATTATATAGAATCTGACAATAACGCCTTGTGTAGGTGTTGCCGTGGGACTCAAGAATTGGCTCAGGATAACCTTTGCATGTGAGCCATCATATTTGGAAGATGGCTTCCAGAGACTAACTGCTTTCTACCAAAGGCATGCCAAAAAACAATAAGCTACTGTCTGTGAAACAAACCTTGATATCTGTTATGTTACGGTCTCCTGATATGTATCTAGTTATGAGACACGTTGCAAGATGAACTCAGATGTTTCTTCCTATGACCTATGATCCTGGTTTGTCAAGAGACAACCTACAATCTTGAGTTGGAGTACTCAAAAACTGAAACAATTTCCTGCTCATCTTTTCATTGAATTCAAATAACTTTAAAAATAATATTGGTGGATATCTCTGCTTTATGGATTGACAATTGCTTCAACTACTCTTTGACCCTCGGTGTTACAATAGCTCATGCATAAGCTGGCTAGATTTTGAACAATTTCCTCGAGTCGTCAGAGGAATGTAATATGTTATTCTGAATGGTATCCACTTCTGGATTATCACAGACAATATCATTTTGGGGAATATCTTCCAAACTCCTGCTAGTGAATATCAATAATGCACCATTACTAGTGAATATATTTGTAAGATAGCCTTTAATTAGCTAAGCTAGAACAAGTGTTTGTGAAATGTGCAGATTGTTTAATATTATTGGGCACAATTGGTTGCTCACAGCGTAAACTTTTATATTATTACTACATCTTAGGTCTTATACTCAATTTCTTTTGCATTCATGCGCTACTAACTTCGTTTATTCTCTATTATTTCTCACTTAATACATTTCAAATTTGATACTTACTTGGGAACTCATAACTCAAATGAACCACTTGCCTGATGACCGAGGATTAATTAACTAACTACTTCATTCTAGAAGTTCTAAATTTTCCATTCTTTGCCTAGTAACTATGTTTCTATAAATTCACGTCCTAATTCTCTACAAACTCTTGGAATGTTCTATATTTTTTATTAGGACAAAGATGTCTATAATTCAAAGTCTAGAAAAAAACTAGTTTATGTGTTTGGTATAAGAAAGGAAAATATATTTTTCATTTTCTCATATTTGGTTGACTTAAATATTTTTCAAATGAACTTATTTTCGTCAACTTAAGAAAAAATGTTGGGTATGTGATAGAGGTTCGGGTTCGTGTCAAAGAGTGGTGGTTCGAATATGATATTATAATATTTGTCCAGATTATATCTAAATAATTTTCTCTTCAAAAAAATAAAATTATTTTCCCTTGGAATACATACACCCCTATTTATTGTTAAGAGGGCGAAAATCACTTGTACTGTGCCTCGTGACTTATCTTTCTGTTTCTACCTACTTTGCTTCTTCAACTCCATGTCTGCGAATTCATAGTCATCAGTATGGAGAACAGTACTACTACAACAAGGAAAATATGGAACTTTAAGGAGACTGAGAAGTTAGAGAGTGCACCGAATCTCACCATAAGAATTGTCCTTGACAAGTTGAGGTCTTGCCTCGACACTGCTGATACCCGACCGGTTATCCCTCTCTGCCTTGCCGATCCTTCTGCTTTCCCCTGTTTCCGGACTACACCAATCGCCGAAGATGCTATTGTTGATGCTGTTCGCTCTGCTAAGTTTAACTGCTATTCTCCCACTGTCGGCATCCTTCCTGCTAGAAGGTACCATATTACTAGCCTTGCTTACTCAAAATTTTAGTCGAACAATGTTAATTTTAATGTTTTGATTGATTTTGAAATCTGTAATCGTTCTAAGTTTTTGATTTTCGATATCACTTGGTTTAGGTGTCTCTGGCACTGATTGCATATTAGGGTGTGTTTGGTACGAAGGAAAATGTTTTTCAATTTTCTCATGTTTGGTTGGATTAAATGTTTTGGAAAATGTTTTTCAAATCAACTCATTTTTCTTAAATTTAAGAAAAATGACTTCCTTCAAAACTTAAGAAGAACATTTTCCAAACCTCTCTTCCAATTTCAAATTACAATTATTTTTTTTGTTGAAAAAATTAATTTATTTTGTCTCTATCCTGAAATCAACCCCCAACCACCACCCCCAAAAAAATAATTTTAAAGCTTGTTTTTAAATTAAATTTGTTTACCCCACCTTCACCCCTACCTCCAACCCCTCCCAAAAAAATATTAAAAATTGTTTTTAAAAGATATTTCTAATTTCAATTTTTTATTTTTTTATCCCCACCCACTACCCTCGGCCCCCATCTGCCCCCCTATCAGCCCCCAACTCCCTTAAAAAAAAAAAGGTTTGTTTTTAAAAAATATTTTTAACTTTAATTTTTTATTTTCTCATCCCGATCATCGATCACCCACCCACCTCCCTCAAAAAAAAATTTGAGTTTGTTTTTGAAAAAATTTTTTAACTTTAAAATTTCATTTGTTTCACCATACCCAGCCCCCACCCCACCCGCCCACCCCTACCAGCCCCACCCGCCCACCCCTACCAGCCCCCCCCAAAAAAAATTAAATTTGTTTTTAAAAAATATTTTCAATTTCAAAAATTCATTTTTTCACCCCTATCCTTAACCCCCCACCCACGCACCCCCTACCAGCCCCCCCACCACCCCCAAAAAATAATTTTTAAGTTTGTTTTCTAAAAATATTTTCAATTTCAAAATTTAATTTTTTTTCACCCCTACCCACCCCTGGGCACCCCAACCACCCCCTACCAGCACCCCCCACCCCCAAAAAAAAATTTTAAGTTTGTTTTTAAAAAATACTTTCAACTTCAAAAATTTATTTTTTCACCCCAATCCTCGATCCCCCCTCCACCCATCCCCTACCATCCCCCCACTCCACCCACCCCCAAAAAAAATTTAAGTTTGTTTTTAAAAAATATTTTCAATTTCAAAAATTATTTTCTACTCTAGTTAAAATAAAAGATATTTCTCAAAAAAAAATTTCATTCATAAATCAAATATTAAAAATATTTTTTGGAAAGTATTTTCTACTTACCAACCAAACATGAGAAAATAAATCAAAAATCAACTTGTAACATTTTCTAGGAAAACATTTTCCTTCATACCAAACACACCCTTAGTGTTTCTCATTTGGAGGTGTTTGATTAAATGTGTACCTCAGTCAGTGTAATCTAATCTGTTTAGATGTGAAGTGACGGATTCAAAATTTTGAGTTTATGGGTTGTGGATTCTAGAAACTATAGCTTACTGAGTTCGGAGTAAGTTATGTTATACGTATTGGATTTCTCAACTTAAATTTAGGGTAAAGGCCCAAAGCTAGTGGTTCTTGCCAAACTCGTAACCAAGGCTCTAGTTCCCCAGCTTTATTTAGTGTAAAGTTAATGTTGGAGACATGTTTCATGATCGTCAAATTCATTTAATTTTGTTCTCTGAAAAGGGCGGTAGCAGAATACCTTTCTCAAGATCTCCCATACAAGTTGTCCCCTGATGATATTTACTTGACAAGTGGATGTATTCAAGCAATTGAAGTACTTTTGAGTGCTCTTGCACGCCCAAACGCAAATATTCTACTTCCCACTCCTGGATTCCTTTTTTATGAAGCTAGGGCTGCATTTACCCATATCGAAATGCGCCACTTTAATCTTCTCCCGGACAAGGAGTGGGAGGTGGACCTTAATGCGGTTGAGTCTTTGGCCGATGAAAATACCGTGGCTATAGTCATTATTAATCCTGGGAATCCTTGTGGCAATGTCTACACAGACCAACACTTGAAGAAGGTATGTGTGTGTACTTCCTTTTTTGTTGTAGTATATTGATATCCTAAGTCATTATTATGAATATAAAGAGGTGGTTTAATTTCTATCAGGTGGCAGAGACGGCAAGAAAACTTGGAATTTTAGTTATTTCTGATGAAGTTTATGCTCATCTCACTTTTGGAAGTAGACCATTTGTGCCTATGGGAGTCTTTGGATCGATTGCCCCTGTTATTACTCTCGGATCCATATCAAAGATGTGGATTGTCCCTGGTTGGAGACTTGGTTGGCTTGTTACAAATGATCCGAATGGCATACTAAAAGAGCATGGGGTACTTACCTTTTAAAGATGGCCATTTTCTACTGCTTCCACACATATTATAGGGGACTATATAAGTATAATATGATATCTTAGATTATTTTACAAACAAACAATGTCTATCCGTCGTCACTTTGTGTATTGTTATTTGCAGGTCATAGATTCCATCACGGGATATCTCAATATATCTTCTGACCCTGCGACTTTTATTCAGGTTTGCTCTTTATAGTTCTCTCTTCTGCTTGCGTTCTTTTGGAAATGTAACACTTGTTGTTCCATTTTGCCACACATTTGGTAGAGTTGCTAAAGGATTGAAATTTATTTTGGTCTAACAGCTTGTTGTATTATGTAAACATGTTTCACATAAGCTAATGGAATAGTTATTTGAAAATTTAGTAGTATAGGTGTAATTTTCCTCGTCGCTTACTGAGGTATCTGGTTTCTTTTTGTTCTTACTTTGACAGGGGGCAATTCCTCAGATCCTTAAGAATACAAAAGACGATTTCTTCTCTAAAATAGTAAATATGCTAAGAGAAGATGCAGATTTCTGTTATGAAAGAATCAAGGATATTCCTTGCATCACTTGCCCAAGTAAACCTCAAGGATCTATGTTTGTGATGGTATGAGAAAAATGGAAGCTTAATTAGTTAGAAGATGTTATCAATAGTCTAATATAGGTCTTTTTCCTCTTGTAGGTTCAACTTCATTTGAATCTTCTAGAAGACATCGAAGATGACCTGGACTTTTGTGCAAAGCTGGCTAGGGAAGAATCTATGATAATTTTACCAGGTAAAAGAAACAAATCTCTTAGAAAGCTAATCAAACTCTGTCGAAACAGTAGACAGATTTTCTTACTTGAACAAATGTCCCTTTCTTGGAGGACAATCTTTTCAAATTCCTTTATTTTTTCTTGGAATGTTTCTCATACGTTTAGTCGATAGAGCTTTCGTATTCATGGGTCATAATGTCATTTGATTCTTTTATTATGCCAAACAAGCCTTTAATTGCATCCAATTCAGAAAGTTCCTACAGGACAAATAGAATTCATCCATATACATAGGATCTGCCATGCTAGTGATCATTTTTTGGGATACATACAAGTCTGATTATCAATGCAACTGATACGAAAGCAGAAATTCGTCAATTTTTATTAGACTCCATAGATGTAACCATGTTTTATGAAGGTAAAATTCGTGTACTTCTGGTATTGATGTATTAATTCGCTGCATGAAAGTAGACTCACTCAAAAGAGCTAGCATATGAATACAAAGTTTGTGTGTTCTGCATGCACAAAAACTGGTGTGATGCTATGCTGTGTATAGATATGTGACAATAACTCTTGGTGCAGGTGTTGCTGTAGGACTCAAGAATTGGCTCAGGATAACTTTTGCGTGTGAGCCATCATATCTGGAAGATGGCTTCCAGAGACTAAATGCTTTCTATAAAAGGCACGCCAAGAAACAAGAAGCTACTGTCTGAGAAACAGCCGTTATATCTGTTACCGTCCCCTGATATGGAGGACGCTGCAAGATGAAATCAGATATTTTCTTCCTACAACCTATGGTCCTGGTTCGTCAAGAGAACCTGCAATCTTGAGTTAAGAGTACTCAAAAACTAATTAGTTTTCTACTTTTTTTTCATTGAATTCAAGTAACTTTAAAAATAATGTTGGTGGATATCTCTGCTTTACGGAATGGCAATTGATCTTCAACTACTCGTTGACCCTCGGTGTGGTGTACGTACAATAGCTCATACATAAGTTGGCTAGATTTTCAATAATTTTGTCGAGTCATCAGATGAATGTTATATGTTATTCAGAGTGGTGGTATCAGCTAATTCCGGATTATCACAGACAATATCATTCTGGGGAATATCATCCGGAACTCCTGCTAGTGAATATCAATAATGCACCATTACTAGTGAATGGGTTTTTAAGATGGCCTTTAACTAGCAAAGCTAGAACAAGTGTTTGTGAAATGTGCAGATTGTTTAATATTGTTGGGCACAATTGGTTGCTAAGTAAGGACAATCTTCGATCTTACAATTCTTATACTCAAATTCTTTTGCACTTATACTCTTGTAACTTCGTTTGATACGTACTTGCGAACTCACTCTTTACTTGAACACAAATAACTCAAATGAACCACTTACCTTTCTAGATTTTCCGTTCTTTGCCTTGTAACTATATTTCTAGAATTCACCTCCTAATTCTCTACTAACTCTTTGAATGTTCTATATGTTTTTGTTAGGGCAAATATATTTATTATTCAAAGTCCAGAAAAAAAAAAAACTAGTGTCTGTGTTTCTTAGGAAGGAAAATATTTTTTAATTTTTTTATATTTGGTTGGCTTAAATATTTTTCAATTGAACTTAATTTATTAAAAGTAAGAAAAATGTACTTTTCAAAACTTTCTTCAACTTCACCATCCAACCTCGATCACGACCCGAAACCTGACTCTCAACCCCGACCTTGACCTCGATGGCTCGATTTCCAACCCCGACATGGAATTCGATTCCTAATCCTGACTTTGATTAGGGATTCGAATTCGATCCAAATACGACTTCCAACCCTGACACAGATTAGTATTTGACCCAACCCAGCCCAACTTGAGTCTTTGGGTCTTGGCTTAGGGTTTGGTCTCAAGTTGGGTTAGGGTTAGGTCAGGGTAGGATCGAGGATTAGTTTCTAAGTTGGGACTAGGAGTGGCAAAAAGAGCGAGTTGAGTTGAGTCGAATGTGAGTCGATCGAAAACGAGTTAAATAAAATGGATAAAGCATTCGGCTCGACTCACATTTTAAATGGGTAAAAACGATTTACCCAATGAATAATATGGGTAAATATGGGTACTCATATTATAGTTAAGATCTTGTTAAAAGCTTTAAAAACAAAATCATTTTTATTTTTTTTATCACTCCACCCTCCCTACCAGCCCCCTACCCCCTATCCCAAAAAAAAAATGTAAAAAAACAAATAGTTTGTTTTATTATATTTTTTTTTTTTGAAAAGTTCTTTTTTTCACCCAATCTCCCTACCAGCCCCCCACCCCTACGGCCCCCCTCCCCCCATATTCCAAAAAAAAAATGTCATTTTAATTTTTTTTTACCACCCCATCCCCTACCCCCCTCCACACCCCCCGCACACCTCCATCCCAATTTTTTATATAATAAAAAAAATTACCACCCACCCCCTCCCAACGCACCCCCCACATTTAAAAAAAAAGAAGCTTTTTTTACCACCCACCCCTAATCACTTTTCTTTCTTTTATGAATGAACATTTTTTATTCATATTATCCATTTAACTATCCACTTTTAAATGGGTCAATATGAGTATTATTCGTTTTTATCCATTTTTAAATGAGTTGGGTACTCAACCCATTTAAAATAGGTAAATATGAGTGAATACCCATATAAATTACCCATTCTGCCACCTCTAGTTGGGGATCGATGTTAGGGTTGGAGGTGGGGTTGAGTATTGAGTCAAGGGCGAGGTTGTGTTTCCGGTGGATGTTGAGGTCCGATCGGATCTCGAGTCTAGAATGTGATAAAGAGGTTCGGGTTTGTGTATAAAAGAGTGGGGTCCAAATATGATGTTATAATATTTGTCCAGATTACATCTAAATATTACTGCAGTTAAACTAAGAACATCTTAACATATGACATTGGAAGAAAAGAAAAAAATTGTACTATTGCATGTGAAATTATCGTGATGAACCTCTCGACTTTACCTACAATACGATTTCTACTAAACAAAACAAGGTGTTTTTCTTCTCATATTCTCTCACATAGAGTTATTATTTCTACTAAATATATAAAAAGACGATTGGACATTCCTTACATAAAATTGTGAACAAAATTAATGTTAAAAAATAGGCAAAAGTTTAGGGGAGGACCAAAAGTGCACCAATATTGCAAACATGAGGGACTATTAGTGCTCCATGTGAAAACTAAAGGATGACTTTGAGCCTTAACCCAAAGATGAGGGACTATTTTGAGCTTTTTCTCGCGAAAATCACTTGTATTGTGCCTCGTGAGATACACGGGCTTATCTTTTCTGTTTGTAACAATGACTTGAAATTCGTTGTGATGAACGATTGCGTTGACTTGGGTCCGACAAGGCGGTGACAAAGCTAAAAATGTATTATCATTTTTGTCATTTTCTTATAAGCTTTCGCACACTTCATCTAATCTCACAAGGTATGGTCAACCTCTCATTAGCAACAACTACTAGATAACTATGTCCATCAAAATTACGACAAATAAAAAAAATTACGTAGCATCTTTTAATCCCTACTAGTCTATGGACACGTGCAACTCCCAAGTTATTTTGTACAATATTTTATATAATCATCTAAAATTATTGCAACACGTATTGAGTAATAAAAGACAATAAAAAAAAAGTTCCATGAATGTGATACTTTTCTAGCTATTTGATAGTCAAGTTCAAAATATATGAAAATGATATCTGACAATTGAACAAAAATACTTCAATGTTCATGCTCGTGACAACACTACACCACTACAATACATTGATTATATACTACATTAAAATAAATAAAGCAAAAAAAAAATTGAAAATGAAAATGAAAATTGTATAGGAAATAATCGATATTCTAAATTATAGATCTTAATTATTAGATAGATAAAAACAAGAACCAAAATGAAAAATAAGCCTATAATCTAAAGATATTGTATGTACATAGCAAGTGAGACTGATGAAAACCAGAGAAAGCTAATAGTTACATCAAATACAAACTCATGATTTATAAGAATATACAGAAACATAAAGTTTGTATTCAATTAATTTTCTTATTTTTATTACAATATATATTTTCAATTTTTGTATAAATTATTATAAGAGTAATTTTAAGTGAAGTAAAAATATCGTGTATATATATGTATTTATATTTTTATTCATAAATATATAAAAATAGTGTTAAATAGAATGTGATAATATTTATTACAGTTAATGTATATTTACATTTTTTCCATAAATATTATGAGTTTGTAAGGACATTTTGATAATTTAATTTTTAACTTGGGGGTTTTCTACTTTTAATTGCACGTGTAACCCATATTATTGTTTTATAACTGTTCATTTATAGTTATAATGTTATTATGCATATTTTAGAAGTTAATTGAGCTATATATTAGAAGTTGAAGAAGTATGAAAATTTAGCATAATTACATATTCTTAAATCCTTAGGAATAAACTCAGAAATCATACTATGTTATGTTCCTACTAATTAAGCTATACAATATAATGTACTTTTATATCTCTTAAAAGTTATTGTGAGACTTAACAATTTCATTTGATTGTATTGGTAATATTTCTAGGAGAGACCATGCAACTAAATCGGAAATATAAATTGGAGAATACAAGGGATATATAAAACAACCGTTTGGTGCTAAACCCAAGCTATCACCAAACTGTTGCCACATAGATGTGTGATGTCAAATAGATTTCTTAGTTTGTAGTTACCTTCTTCCGGAGTCGGTGTTAATCCATTCAAGTGAGCTCCTCTCTAAGACTATTCCATCAAGAACAACTACAAAGATAGTGTGAGACCTACGACTTAATTACTATTTTTTTGAATCAAAAGTTTCAATTTCTGTGTAGACGTCTTCATTCTTCATGCAACATATCTTCAAGCATATCTAATTTTAATACAAAAAATTGTCATTTCATAATCTAATCCAAATCTTCTCTATTAAAGCGCAAAATTACAAAAGAAAAACCTTTTGACAAACAATTCAAGAGATTATCATCAAAAGCCTATCAAAAGAAAAAAATAATTGCAGCCCAACAAATCTATTATAAAATACAAAGCCAGAAAATAAAGCACAAATATATACAAAATAAAAAGGGACTTTCATCAAATTAGCTGTATGAAATATTACAGAAAAGTATGTAAAACACGCATAATATTACAACTCATTATCCTAAAAGAACTATCATCATATAAACAAGAAAAATAACTAAGAATATCATACAAAATTTATGTGAGTTACTGCCGACATGTTTCTCTGCCCAAATAAAGGCCCATACCATTATCAAAACAATAACGTGTTTTGCCCCCGACGCTTTCATCACGAAATAATATAATGCTTGAACTCAAAAATCAATAATATTCAATAATTGAAACCTAAAATTAAAGGAGAAAATATATAGGCGATGATGCATGCTTATGAGAAAACTTTTAAGAGTGGTATAAGCTGTGAATATAGAACTAATGAAAAACATTTACTTGATTTGATAGACCGTACGATAATGTTATTGCATATATATACTCTTTTTTAGTGCAAATTTATAGCATGTTGTAAAGAATGTGAAAATGTTATTACTATGAAAGATGAGAGAAACAGAACATTAAGATTGAAATAATTACATGTAACAACTAAGCAATTGATAGATGTTTTAAATATTTTTGGAATACGAAGCAATTTTTTGCTTTCAGATTCAATGTACACAGTGAAAGGT